GGGCTTACTCAAGCCTCTTTTATGAGGGCACTAATCTCATTCATACTGGTGGAACCATAGTGACTTAATCACTTCCCAACGGCCATACCTCTTAATACTATCACAAGAGGTATTAGGTTCTAACATATGAAATATGAATTTGAGTGGTAGGATGGAGGGAGGAGACACCAACTTAGACCATAGCACTGCATCTCCACCCAATTTAATGGACTATCCTCTGATCACACCTTCTCTCTGTGGAACATTTTGTACCTTACTACCTTACTCCTATTAGTGATGCTCTCAGATTTAGTCCTCAGCTTGGCAGTGTGCCTGGGCATTGCTGCCCTATTACAATGCAGTTCTCAATAGGCTTCTGTATCATAAGTTACAACAGGTACATTAAGCAAGCTCCATGAGCTTTGAAGACCCCAAAACACACCTTAGTAATCCACAGACATCATCTAAGATACAGAAGGCAAAGTTAGGGGGAAATGTGGAATTTGGAAAAGGCATAAAAGAAATGCATTACCTATACAATTAAAACAATAACAATTTTGGACAATGGCCAAAAAGCATACATGAAAGAAGAGAGATGTTTTGACCCCCCAATATATTAAAATGTGTCATTTCACATACTCACACTGCATGCATGATTTAGCTTTCTTTTTTACTCAGCCTCAGCAACAGCTAGGAATATTTTCCTCACAACTTTTACCTCATAAATTTGGTTTCCTGATTCAATTTTTCTTTTTTTTTATTTTAGCGTATTATGGGTGTACAAGTGTTAAAGTTACATATATTACCCATGTCCCCCTCCCCAATTTTTCTTTACGAAGGGGAAAAAAAGAAAAATCTTAAAAGATCTTTCTTCAGATGAGATTCTTTCCCTCTGGATTTTTATTGATTTATAATTGCATTGATATTTCACATTTCTATTAAAAACACCATGTTCTAATGCTCAGTCTGGCAGAGGCTTCCTTTTGTATTTGACAGGACATCCACCAAATCATCCTATTATGGAGACAGCTTGGGGTTCTGGGAAAATCAATAGGTGTTTAGCTCCCAAGGAAGCAGGGAGATGGGGAAATGTGAGCCGTGGCACTAGCAACCGCTGGGATAGGAATGTCTCTAAAGCTTGAATTGAGGCCACAGGGCTGTGAAATTGTGGAATTTTAGCAGTTATGTAACCACATTTTTAGGTTAATTATTCGGTCTCTCTCTCTCTCGGCCCAGTTTCCTTTAGGGTAGCTGCTCCTGGGAGAGAAGCATTGTCCTTTCACTGTGAATTGCTGCTTCACTGACCATCATTTTTGTCTGAAAGGGAATGGCCTTTCAGAGAAACTGTATCTGCTTATTTCTAAATAACAAATCCTTGGACTCTGTGATTCACATTGCTTTTCTGTCAATTTTAGACAGTGTTCAATTACACACTGAAGCAGAGACAGGTCTTCTCGTTCAGGTGCGCCCTGTCAAAGCCTGCCTCCCCACTATTTGAGGTGGGTGTTCCATTGTAATGATTCTGCTGGCTGTCTTTTCCCTCATCTCTGCCTAAAAATCAAATCATCTCTCAAAAGTCAATGAAAGGTTCTTAGCTGCTAAGGCAGCTAAACAAATCTGCTAACAACAATAGCCTTGCTGAATACTTTGTATCTCTCAGAAGGCTTTCTGGGAAACAGCCGTACCACCAAAGCCCAATCCTAAAGTCAGTCCATCAGCACCCTGAACAGTCCATGTTTTGTGACCGGGGCTGATGGTTCACATGTAAACCCATGGCATTCTTTCTGCCAACATCCTACGCCACGGCTGTTAAGATTGAGATGCTGAAGTGAACTGCTTCATGGTGGTTGGGCTATTGTCTAACTGGTTTCTGTTCATCATAATAACAAAAACTAAATAAGACCATTTTTCGAGTCTTACTTGAAAAATACTTTGTGATTAAGGCTTTCAAGCAGCAAACTTAAACATCAAGGAGAAAGAACAGCCTCATGGGGGAAATAGCCAAACTTAAAATAAAATTGACCAAGCAGAAAGTTATAAATAATATTGTTTTAACAGGGTTTTGAGGTGCAGCCAAATATTTTGGAACATTCTCTGTCCAAACAAAACCAGCATATTTCTTATTTTTTCCCAACCTCATGACTGAGGCAAGAGATAAATGGAAAGGGAAAAAGCCCATAGTTGCAAAATGTAAATTTAAAAGAAAGATCAATCTGGACGGTCATAAAAAACCAGGTGGCAGGCAAAAAATTGACTCATTTATGAAGAAATGCAAGACATCCTCTAACAGGCAATAATTAAGGTGCAGTAAAAAGAGCAAAGAATTTGAAGGCAGATCAAATCCTAAATCCACCACTCATAAGATGTGTGTGTCTGGGAAAATGTTGTAGCTTCCCTGAGCCTCATGTTCCTCATCTGTAAAATGGTAAGGATAGCACTGATCTCACAGTTGTAGTAAGGATTTAAAGAGACGGAGAATGGCAGCACCTAGCACAGCACTCAGCACATTCAAGAGTATCAAATCTCCACTCTCTCCTACTGTTTCCCAACTCCCTCCACCCCAGCACACCAGAAGATCTGAAGACTTGCCTTAGATTGCAATGTTTTCTTTTATTTCAGGAAATTATGAGAGTACAAACATTTTGGTTACATTTTATATCTTTGCCTCTCCCTAGCAAGAGTTAGAGGTATGCCCTTCCCCTCCACAATGCTCGCCTCATCCTTCAGTTGTGATTCTACTTCCCCAACCTCCTAACGCCTAGAGAATACCACCACCATGTGAGCACCATAGTGTTAATCAGTCAGTACCAAGTTGATGCGAGTTCATGTGGTGCGTATTCTTCTGATCTTGTGTCACCTCACTTTGGCTAATGGGCTCAAGCTCAATCCAGGAAAATATAAATGGTGCTAGACCACTGTTGTTTCTTAAAATTGAGTAATAGTTCATTGTATACATACACCAAATTTTAATAATCCACTCATGAATTGACAGGCACTTGGGTTGTTTCCATGTCCTCACAATAGTGAATTGTGCTGCCATAAACATTCAGGTGCAGATGTCTTTATTATAGAATGTCTTATGCTCTGTTGGGTAGATGCCTAATAATGCTATTGCTGGATCAAATGGTATTTCTATTTTTAGCTCTTTGAGGTATCTCCAAATTCTTTTCCACAAAGGTTGCACTAATCTGCCTTACACACCAAACAGTGCAATAGGCACTCCCCAAAGTAAAATCATTCAAGAGTTAAAGGCTAGAACTTGAACTGCATGATGGCTCAAGGAGTAAAACAAAGCAACCGGACTTCACCCAACAGTATGAATGGAATTCTTCCTCAAATTTCAATCCTCTTAATGAATGTAAACAGCTTAAACTGCCCTCTGAAGAGACATAGACTGGCAGAGTGGATAAAAATCCACAAGCCTAGTATCTGCTGTCTAAAGGAAACATATCCAACCCACAAAGATGTCTTCCAGCTAAAGGTCAAGGGATGGAAAACTATCATCCAGGCAAATGGATGTCAAAAGAAAGCAGGAATAGCTATACTATTTGCAGATAACATAAACTTTAAAATAGCAAAAGTAAAAGAGGATAAAGATGGCCACTTTATTATGGTGAAAGGGAAGATCCAACAAAAAGATTTAACAATTCTTAACATTTTTGCACCCAATGCAGGAGCATCCAATTACATAAAGCAAACCTTGTCTGATCTAAATAGCATGTTAAAAAATAATGCCATAGTAGCAGGGGACTGCAACACTCTACTGAATGAATTGGATAGATCCTGCAAACAGAAAATAAGCAAAGAAATAATGGACTTAAACAGAGCTCTTGAACAAAAAGATCTGACAAATCTCTACAGAACATTCCACCCAAATAAAGTTGAATTTACATTCTTCTCAGCAGCCCATGGAACCTTCTCCAAAGCTGGTCACATACTAAGATTGCAATGTTTTAAGTAATGTGGGTTTTGTTTGTGTTAAGTGTGATAGCATAATACTAAAAAAAGAAATGTAATTGGACTAGGAATCTAGAGAACTGGGTCTTTATGATTCTATAACTTTCTAACTGTATTAACTTAGGGAAGTGACCTCACCTCAGATTTGTGTCTTTAAAGTGAGGCCACTGGAAACTTTGATTTTTGGTATCCAGAAAATTTCTAGGGTATATACCTATTCAAGCCAAGGTTTCCCTCTTTTGTTTTGATTTTGCCTCCCACTGATAGGTAATTTCAAAGTGAGTTTTGGTATAACTAGTACTGGTATCTTTCTTTGACATGTGGAAATCTTAGTGAATGCAAAAGAGCGTTGTTTTCAGAAGTTGTTCAATACATGTTTGCAGAATGTGTAAGTTACACTAATTAGGATAAAACAGAATGCTGCTCTTAATATAAAACCTTTGTCCAATCCCAGTGCATTGCTTCTCCTTATTTATAGCTCTCCTGCCCACTACTCCAATTTCTATGGAAACATCAGAAGCACTGTCCCTTAATATTGTCAAATGAAGTAAATAGCAGGTGGCTAAGAAACTTTTGTTTCTGAACCATTTTTAGCAGTGATGCATCGATCCTTTACCGTTACTGTGAAGCTCAGGAGGTTCAGAAAAATGATGTAATTATCTCTCTCACAAATAATATAATTACTTCTCCCAAAATTAGTAGCAAAATAATTTTAAGCCATCATTTCCAATAATTCCTAAGAGAGATGGGGGAAAAAATCCTAAACTTATGGGCTCTGACTTAAATGCCTTGTATTAAGCCCACAACAAACTATAATGTCATCTTTCTTTCAGACATCAATGAGCAGGAGAGCAGAAGAGAAATTCCTTCTTAGACAGCAGGACTTTCTGACCTTGTGACATTCCCATCAGATATATGGCAGGCATACAAGACATGAAAATATCTGGATTAATCTATGAATCCAAGTGCCTTGATTTCTAACTTGGAATTTTTATTCAGTGAGAAGGAAAATTTTAAAATCATACTTTCCAATGAAAGAGGAATTCTGCTGCTTTCAAAGTTTAACTGTGGGGGAGTGGGGGAGATGTAGTCTCTCCATCCCTATTGATCCCTAGATCATTTATTGATCAGGATTGGAATTTAAATGGCTGCAAAGAGAAAGAGGCATTGGTTGGCGTTTCCGTCCCTCTGGCTGCAAGGTCTCTGCGACATGTGCCATTGTCGTTCCACACCTGTATTCTGGAATTTGTGCATCACCAGACTCAGTCCTCCTTGGGGGCCATGACAGTGGCTGGTATTTTGCTCTGCTTTAGGGTGAATCCATTCCAATTCTTCACTTGTCACACTATAATTTTCCACTTATACGTGTGTATTTTGAATTTCCTCAGTAGCCAGTTCTTCTATTGATGGAATGCAGTACATCTATAAAGGAGCTTTTGCCAACCAAAAAAAAAATTTTTTTAATCATAAAGTGTTTTACCAATGAGATTTCAGACATGTTTGTTTGGCTTTCAAGCTTATGCAAATGTAACCATTGACTAGACTACATCTGTTAAGTTGTCGGTTTTAAACAGATTCTCCACCTCTTGAATATGTTCCAATTATGATTTTCTGTATTTAGTTATTCATTTTCTTTTTTTGCTGTCAGAAACTTAAGGAATTTTGTGTTTGTGTAGATTCTGGATAAGTATGTATAAGCCACAACGTTTTCCCCAAAATATGAAAATTTTGTGAGTTTATAAATATAGAAAGAACATTGCAAAAATTCAGGCTTTCGTTTAATATTTAGACCTATTTATTTCCAATAATATCAAAATTCTCTTGAAAAGTACTGGAAAATTTATTTATTCTGAATCTACTAGGCCATTGTTAGCAGAAACAAAGAAAGAATTTTTCAGAATTATATACATTGAGTTATATTATTTGTCAGTAGAGTTTCAATACCTAGGTTGTTATACTTTACATTTTACTCAGAGCTTTGGTACAGACAATTAACCATGATACTAGTTCACAATGACCTTCAAAATCCTTCACAAATCTTCTAGACAATCCTCCTTGACATTAGTTCCTATAAATCTAACTTCCTTACTTACCATTTATTCCATGTGATCTGAGCAGTGCATACATATTCCCACCTCTGTGCCTTTATGTATGCCTGGAATGTTCTACTTCTCTCTCTCTTTTTATGCTTGGCAACGATATAAGTGCAAGTCTTACACATCTTTATATATTCTCAAGATTTAGCATAGTCCAGGATAGAGAGGATACCCCACAAATTTACAGGATAGCAATTAGAACACTTTTTTTTCACTAATGTGTAGCTATGAGACAGTCCTCTCATGTTTCTTTTTATTTTTTTAAGTTTATATTACATCTGATTTACCACAAATATTATCTTGGAATACTACAGTGTATTGCTATTTCTCTTTTCAGATTAGTTAATATTTGCCTTATGTATTTATGTCCTCTGAGGTTGGGTGTATACATAACTACAGTTGTTGGATACGATTAACCCCTTCTCATTATATAATCACTGTCTTTTTCTCTTTGTATAGTTTTTGACTTGAAGTCTCTTTTATCTGATATAAATAACAAATACTCCTTTTGCTCTCTTTTGGTTTTCATTTGTGTGGAATGTCTTTTTCTATTTCTGTACTTTCAGCCTATGTGTGTCCTTAAGCTGAAGTGAGTCTCTTGTAGGCATTATATAATTGGGTCTTTTTTTATTCATGTAGCCATTCTATGTCTTTTGATTAAATAATCTCGTCTATTTATATTTAAACTAATTATTGATAGGTAAGGACTTATTGGCATTTATTTAATTGTTTAATTTTTAATTGTTATTTAACTGTTTAATCATTTAATTGTTTTCTGTTTTCTAGTTCCTTTTTACCTCTCTTGCTCTTCCTTGTGATTTGATGATATTCTGTAGTAGTATGCTTGAATTCCTTTATCTTTTTCTTTTCTGTGCCTACTATAGATTTTTGTTTTGTGGTTACCATGGGGCTTACATTAAACATCTGATAGCTAAAAAAGTCTATTGCAAGCTGATTAGAACTTCTGCTGCATACAAACACTATACACTTGTGTATTTACTACAGATTTTTGCTTTATGGTTACCACGGGGCACACATTAAACACCTTATAGTTATAAAAGTGTACGTTAAGCTGATTACAACTTCTATTGATACAAACTCCTATACACATTTACTCCCCCTCACACATTTTAAGTTTTTGATGTCACAATTTACTTCATTTAATACTGTGCATCCATTAACAAATTATTGTAGCTATTATTATTTTTAATAATTTTATCTTTTAACATTTTTACTAGGGTGAAAGTGAGCTATACACCACCACTACAGTATTAGAGTATTCTGTATGTGACTATATACTTACCTTTAGCAATGAGTTTTATACTTTTGTACATTTTCGTATTACTAATTAACATCCTTAATTTTCAGCTTGAAGACCTCCTTTTTGCATTTCTTATAAGGCAGATCTAGTGGTGGTAAACTCCATCGGGTTCTCTTTGTCTAACAAAGTTTTGCTCTCTCCTTCACATCTGAAAAACAAATTTTCTAGGTTTGAAATTTTTTTCTTTTGGCATTCACTCCAGGCCTGCAATATTTATATTTAGAAGTCTACTCATAGTATTGGGATTTTCTTATATGTAATATTTATTTTCTGTTGCTGTTTTCAAAATTTTCTTTAATGTTTGACAATTTGATTATAATGTTTCTTGTTAAAATCTTCTTTATTTCAAACTATTTGGATACCTTTGAGCCTCATATACCTGGATATCCATATCTTTCCCAAGATTTGGGAAGTTTTTAAGCTATAGTAGTCCCCCTTTATCCATGGGAGATACATTCCAAGCCCCCCCCACACCAGTGGCTGCCTGAAACCATGGATAATACTGAAGCCTATTTATTCTATGTTTCCTCCTACACATATATACCTATGCTAAAGTTTAATTTATAAATTAGGCACAGTGAGAGATTAACAACAATAACTAATAACAAAATAAAATAATTTTATAATAATATATTGTAATGAAAGTTATATAAATACGGTTTCTCTCTCTCTCTGTCAATATCTTTTTGGACTGTTACACACATAACAAAAACCACAAAAAGCAAAACTACAGATAAGGGAGGACTACTGTATTTCTTTAAATAAACTTCTTGCCCCTTTATCACTTTCTTCTTTCTGAGACTTCCTCATGCATATCTTATTTCTCTTGATGGTGTACCACAAATTGTGTAAGTTTTCTTCATTTCTTTTTATTTTCTCTTCTCTGACTTTATAGTTTAAAATGATCTGAGTTCAAAAATTCTTTCCTCTGCTTGATCAAGTATAATGTTGAAATTCTATTGCATTTTTAATTTCATTCATTGAATTCTTCATCTCCAAAATTATAATTTTTTCTTATGATTTCTATCTGTCTGTTGACCTCATTTTGTTCATGTATTGTTTTACTGATATCATTGAGCTGTCTGTGTTCTCTTAAGCTCACTTAAAATAATTATTTTGAATTCTTTGTCCAACAGTTTATCTTCATTTGGGGGAGTTGGTTACTGGAAAATTATTGTGCTCAAATAGTGTCATTATCCTTTTTTTTTTTTTTTCATGTATTTCAAAGTCTTAAACAGCTATCTGCACAGTAGTCACCTTCGGTCTTTATTGACTGGCTTTGAGAGAAACACGAGTCAGCTTGGCTTGGCCTTCTTAGGCTATTATCTCAGACCTTTCCTTTGGATGCACCCACTCCACCCTTCTTGGGTAGAAAGGGGGAATTCTTAAGACTGCATGCCATCTCTTGATCCTACAAACCAGGCTGGGTCTGGGAGCCTCCCTTTTATTTCCCCTAAGGCAGTGCCCTGAAAAGCTCAATTTTGTATGCCCTCTCTCAATCCCACAGAGTTGGCCCTGTTGACTTAATGTACTCACAATCCATTTATAAAGGCTTGCACTTACTCTTTGGGGGGCACATGCAGGGAGCTGACCACAGGGAGGAGCTGTCCCAACTGGTTCATGAGTTGGCTCCTGATGGAGTCTGTGAAAAGAGGATACAGGCCCTTTACTGAGCTTTGAGTCCTGGTTGCTCGGAGTTCTCTCCTTTCTTCCCTGCTCCCAGCCTCTTGCAGCCACTCAGCCATGCTGATCCCCTCAGTATTCTGAATGGGATGAAAGAGAGATGGGCCTCTTGGGAAGTGTCCCACACAGCTGGAGCAGCTAGGCACTCACTCACTGTGCTCTACTTTCCCCCATGGGAGGAATTTTCAGGCTGAGGGGTCTCTTTTAACACTAATCTGTGCTGCCATGGGGGAGGGGTGATGTAGGCAAATGGAAAATTGTTCTTACTCTCTTCAATGCATCCATTTTCATTTTTTTCTCCAACGGTGTACTGGAACTTCTCCACTGAACTACCAGCCTCCTGCAAAGATACTTTCATCCATGGATGATTGTCAAAATCAGTGCACTGTGGGAAGATGATGGTAGAAAACTCCTATTCCACCATCTTGGTGTTATCACTTTTGTCTGTGTCAAGGACTTCAAGAAGGTCTGAATAAACTAAAACAATTATATTTTGATATTCAGATAATGGGATTTTTGTATAAATAAACATGCTTGGAGACCTTGTCATTATCATTTCTATGCTATCATTTCCCAAAGTGCATCCTTTGTATTATTATTTCTGTAGAATATCCCACAGAGTATTGAAAACCAATTGATCTTATGATCAAATATTTGGAAGAGGTTGATTAAACATAATTAAATAGATTTCTTTAAGAATGTAATATACTAACAAATAATGTGAATTTTCAAGAAATAATATAGTATGCAATTTTTCTCAACTTATTTAACTTATTTGCCTATAGTATCTCTTCCTTTTCCCTTAGCATCCTAAGAAACTAAAGTTCAATAGACACTCATTTGGGGAGAAATGCTTTATCCAAGTCTCTGCAATTTAGTAATTATTGCATGAAAGCTGAGGAATACATTTAAGCAGTTAAATGCTTTTAAATATGTTTGTTTATAATGCTAGAGATGTCTAGATTTGTTTTACTATCTCTTCATGTATTCTAATCACATAGAAAATTATGGGCACAAAGAAATGTTTCACATAGAAAATATTTCCATATTTGTAGAAACATTAAGGGTGAACCCAATTCTTGAGCTTATTAATTTGTGATTATTTCCTAATGTTTTGATATCTGTTATGTAGTATAACCTATGTGTGAATTATAAGAAATAATTTTGATTTGGCACTGGACATATGAGAAGTCAAGCTTCTCAATATGATAGGCCCTGTGGACCAGGAAGTAACACAGTATTATATCGTGTTCAGTAAGTGACAATAGCTTACTGAGCACTTGCATGAAGTAGGCACTGTTTTAAGACCCTTCTTAAATGTATCAAAGTATTTAATGCTTATGAAAACCTTGACAAGTAGATAATACTATTTTATCCTTTTACAGATAGAAAAATATAGGAAAGTTAAGTAATTTTTCCAAATTCACCCAACTAATAAATTGGTGTGGCAGAATTTGAGCTCATGCAGTCATCTCCAGAGTTTGTGCATCTAACCGTCACATTAAACTCCCTTTAAGCATTAGCTATAGAAATGCAATCATTTTGAAATTTCTATTCTTGCTACTTAAAATAGATATAATGACTCAAGTATATAAGTGACTTTCATAACTGCAGATTGAAAGAAATACATTTATTCTCACCTTGGTAATAGAGAAATAGTCAAACTCTAAAGCTCAAATGACTTTTCTCCTTATATTAAAATCAACTCTGACATCTAGCTTTGCTTGAACCAATGAAAAATCATATAGAAAATGTCAGCAGGAGGTATCAGTTTGATTTTATAGTAAACTTAACAGAAATGAAAATCTTATTCTAAGGCAAAGATATGTGACTAATTTTTCTCCGTTTGTTCAGCGTAGCTGACATACCACTCTGAGTGCATTGATATATGGCTTAAGTATCACAAATCTAAACAAAACAAAACAAAACCAAAAAACTTAGATAAAAAAGTGGCAGTTAACCTGAAATTTACTGGTCTCTAAGTTGTATCCTTTAATTATTTCTGAGAAGGGAACTTAAAATGAGGAACATTTATTAGTGAATTATTTTTAGCATTGAACTGATCCCTAACGGGTTTCAGAGAAGTCCTGGTTTAACCTTGGGATGTATTTCATTATCACGTCTATGGACAGAGCTCTTTTACAGTGCCAATTGAAACTATAATTTTGAGAGAAAATCAGGTTAGAAGTGCCCTATTTAATTATATCAATCTCCTATATATGGTTAATTTCAAATTTTGGTGACAATTTACGAAGTCTTAGCAATAAAAATAATACTAAGAATACATTAATCCAAGCTTAATAATACCCCAAACTTATAAGTTCTTTACCAAGAATATACAAGGATGTTCTCTAATATTCTTCTTCTTGACAATACCCTTGAAATCAAGGCAACTGACATGTCTTACTCTTCATATTTCATAGAAGGAAGATCTGAGTCAGAGCAATATAAAATGACTTATTTAAGGTCAGACTGATGGCTCATGTTGATATCCTATATAATGTTTTGTTTTGTTTTTTCTTTAAGTTCCATTTCTTCAAATGACAAACAGAGAGATAAATGTGAAAGTGTTTTCTTTGTTCTTTTTCTAAAATTTAACAATGATTTATTTATGTCCACCTACTTGTTTGCTTATCCTTCTCTGCCTTAGAAAAAGAACTTACAGATGTTATTGAAACAATAATGTTTCTTCTATAGTCACATAATGAAATTATAGAAATTCTAAGTGCTGTGGTTTTTCTAAAGGAAATAATTTGCATTGCATTATTTACTTTAATCATAATAATAATGACAGGTCTATCAGGTTTAAAAAAGTAACTAGGGTTGATTTAAAGAAAACAGGTAAAAGACCTCTTATTTCTTTGAAAAATTTATTTGCTTTAGGGTGTCTATAATAATCTGATATAATTGTCAAGCACCCTGGTAACAAAAACCAAAGCTATTCCAGGTATTTTAAGTAGTAGGAGATTCAATATAGGGGATTCAGTGTTTACAAAATTGTTGGAAAGACAGTAAGAGTGGATTCTGGGATGTGCCTCCATGAATTGCTCCTTAAAAAGAATAAAACTCATTACTCTGATCTCACCAATGGGATTATTGAATAGGAAAGCCCATCCCAGAACAGTGCTCCAGAGATCAGGAAGCTGTAATCATGGACCCATTGCAGCTACTGCTGCCAGTTCCATACCTGACCCTGGACACAGGAAGCTGGGAAACAGCTACTGTAATGCTCTTAAAGAGGAATATGATGTCTTCAAACCCAGATTGCACATACCCAAAGAGAACAGAAAGACACATTTTGTTTCACTTCCATCTTCCAAGTTTGTGTGTTCATCTATTTGGCAAAACACAATTCTTACCTAGAACTCGACCTATGCTGAAGTCTGGAAAATTCTTAAGTATTGCAACTTCTGTAGTATAGAGAAGCACAGTAAAAGAAGAATGAAATGAAATTGAATAAAATATGGTACAATATCTACCAAACATGAGCTAAAATTTTTAGTTATGATTAGCTTTAAATTATTTTTTATCAATTCTAAGACACCATTGGTTGCATAATATACCATTATTTTATATAGTCCTAAGAAAGAAAAAATACTGTCCATTAAATCATGAAATAAGTATTAAGATGACTTCGATTATATAATGTAGCCAATACTGGAGATATTAACATGTAAAAAGATGTGCATGTTAGAATCAATGAAATATAGCATATATATCATATTAGATTGTAATGGTTTATAGTCTTTTCATGAATGTATGCATGGCTATACAGAGCAGTTCATTGTTTTTAAAGAAACATTGAAAAGTTTAAATAAATGAACACTTCCATTTTACTTGACATGCTCATGTGTAAAAAGAAAAGAGGAAAAGGTTAACAGAATGATGAAAGACTATAAGAAATATTTTATAATTTACCAATATAGAGATAATTTACTAAATTAAATAACTAAAGACTATATTTCTCTAGGTCAAGAATAGATTACATTGCAAATTTCTTTACTAATAAGTTCTGATTTTGTTGAGAAGTGAAAAAAGACATTTTATGGGTGATGTTAAGATACATTAAATCAAGCCACTGAGAATGATTGTACTCTGTCAACTTTGACCAACTATGGTTGCTACGCAAAGGGTTGTCCTCCCCCCTGAGAAGGCCAGTGCTTCCAGGAGAGGGTAGAGACCAGAAAAAGCTAGGAACATGTGCAAAAGTGTAACTTGTCAGGTGTAAGCTGACTGGAAGCCTATAAGACAACCAAGACCCTAGGCTAACACTCAATCCAGATGGATACAGCAGGGTGTGCACACGGTGTAAGACCCTAAAGATGAGATTCAAGTGAAGTTGCAAGAGAAGAAACAATCAACTTTACTGAGGAAACAAAAGGTAAATGATCTACAGCTGGATTCCAAGGTAGACATTTGTTGAGTATCGCCTATGTTCCAGGCACTATTCCAGCTGCTGTTAGCAGAGGCAAGAATCACCAGGGTCACATAAGATCAGAAAAGTAGTATTCAGGCATCATAGTTCTCAGAACAAAGTGTGTTAGCAAATCCTGACAAAGTTATTTTGGTGTAGTCTCAATTATCCCACTTGTCTTAAATTGTCAAATAAACCTGCTAATCAGAACTTAGGGATCTGCTCCCTGAGTTACTCTGAGGGACATATTCTGCCATCACCAACAAGCACAAGTATATTTTCTCACAGTAATAATCCATTCCTGAATACCAGCACCGAAATGTCTAGAAAAGAAAAGTTGGCCTGTGATATTTATGGTTCATAATATATTTTACTGTCAGCTCAAAGATTGCAGATGTCATTTGCCAACAACTTGCTTATTTGATTTATGGAATAATTAATTGTATGTAAGATAAGCAGTGTACTGAAGACTGGCAGCTATAATTAATAGACCCTGGCAGCTAAAAAAAAATCTTTATGAAATTGCAAATGCAAGTTCATAGACCACAAACTAGCATCTCTCCAATTGCTTTACTCTTTCTTGATATATCAGTCTTCAGGTGCAGACTTATAGGTCAAGGGCTGTTAAGTGTAACAATAACCCTTTATATTCATTTAATGTTCTGTAATTTACAAGGATTTCTGACATGTGCTACTTTGTTGGAGCACCACAACACCCCTGCAATGAACACAGAGAAGACATTGTTACCTGTGCTGAGAGTTGAGGAAATATACCCTGAGACATTAAGTGACTTGCCCAAGGCCATATAGTGTCAAAGCTGAAGGAAATGCAAGTGCAAGGAATCCCACGTCTGATGTGGGTAATGGTGTGTTGCAGGATGCAAAGAAGAGCGCTGCTTCAAACTACCTGGATTTAAAGCCTGCCTTTTTCAGGCATGGCCTATGCAAACAAATCTCCCAATCTTCAGGAGCCTCTGTTTTGTCACATGTAAAAAAGAACAATAAAATTTCCACTGCAAGTTTCTTGTGAAGATTAAAGAAAATAAAACATAAGAAAATCCCTCTCTCCTGGTGTCTGGAACACAGGAATCACCTAAGACGTTAGTCTCTGGCGGCTTCCCCTGCCCTGTCTCATGGCCCAGCCCAGGCCCACCATTCTTTTCCACTGCCCAGGACCGTATGACTTAGCTGGGTGCTCAGGTCACAGCAGATCCCCATAAATCTGCTCATGTCAAGGAAAGATCAGACAACCTTAAAGCACCCTTTTTGACTTTTCAATAAAGCCTTTTGGAACTAGTTCAAAAAGATCCTCCCCAGAAGAGATTGTGCCTCAAATACAAATAAAACAATATTTGAGCCAAGTTCATACTTATTATGATAATAAGTGCCCCAGTCTAGACATTGTCACATACCCTAGTCATGAAATTTTGATCGTCATCAGGGCAGTAGCTGGTAGACACTTCCAGACCTGCCTTCAAGGAATTTAGAACCTAAAGAGAAAGGCATATATGTAATAATACACATGAATCTTTAGTTATCTTTTGCTTAATTGAATATGGGAGCATAGCTTCTTCACCTGTCAACTTTAACTTACTGCTAAGAATTACAGTTTTATTTCCTTATAAATGAGGCAATTGTCTTAATTATAGTAATAACTTGTGTTCAAAATACCAACAGTACTTTTTGTATTAATTAATGATAAACTCACCCAATCAAACAGCAACAGGTACTTTCCCTGGCATGGTTTCTGACTACAAATTGCTGAGCTGTTATTAAAATAAAATCTCTAGTTCTCACTGTATCCATCTCTCCTGGTTGGATTACTTCCTACCTAAATCTTGCTGGAGTGTGTGTGTGTGTGTGTGTGTGTGTGTGTGTGTGTGTGTGTGAGTCAATGTGTGTGCACACATTCTGGAGGATGGGAAGAGATGGTGGACACGCTGGAGAGAATACACTTTAGAAACCTAACATGGAGTGCAGTTCATGAAATGGGTCAAATAGCCCCTGATTTATTGCTCTCTCTAAGCACATTTTCATCACCATCAATGACACTTCTTGGAGCATAGTCTTCAAGTATGTGATTTCCTTTCTAGGCTGTGGACTGTGACTGCACTCAGATTCTGAAGTTGCAAAAACAATTTTCCAAAACATTCTTGTAACTTCAGATAATGTACCAAATAGGCTGGGGTACATTTTTTGTCAGAGACTCACAAATGCCAGTTTTTCTGATCACCTCTCCATGGAATATGTTTGTCCTGGATCAATTTAATCGAAAATAGCAACTAAAATAAACCCAATCAGAATGGCTCTGCCACTGAACTCAGAAATATCTGCTGTATATGAGAAAATGAACAGTGTTTAGTCAACTAAACAGTGATTTGTTCATGGTCTTGTGCCCTGTATAAACATGTTGAATGGCTTCGGATACTGTATTATTTGTTTTGAATCAGGTACAAAAAGGGAATAATCTAAAAGAGAAATGGGTGGCTATAAAGTATGTGCGTTACTTTTAAACAATTTAGAGTGGATCTTATTTTAACAAATGCATAATTAACGTCTCCCAGTTAATAGCCCTGCCCCAGGGAATGTTGACAGAAAGATAAAAGAGACACTGCCGATGCATCGATGATCATCGTGGAGCTCACTTCCTACATGGGAGACAGGAATTGCATCATGATGACACGGTGGAGTAAGAGCTATGAAAGAAGAATCACAATAGGCTGTGGACATATGAGACGGGAGATCGGGTGCAAGGAAGCATCTCTGAAGCCCCAGCGCTGAACTGAGACTGAAAGGTTGAGTAGGAAATAGCCTGGGAGCAAAAGGGCAGAAGGGGAAGAGCATACAGGAGAGGACATAAAAGCCAAACAGAGCATCGCAGGTTGAGGGGCAGGGCTCAGTCCAGCCTGACCATATGAAATGGTGTCAGGGCAGCAAGGGGGAAATGCTGAGAACTAAGGCAGAGCCAGGTCTTCACAAGCCTTGGATGGTCTGCCAAGGAGAAACTTGAGGATTTCAGCAGGTGACATGGTCTGATTTATTTTTTGAGACATCTGTGTGGCAGCAGAGTGGAGGGTAAAGTGAGGAGGGTGAGGTGGTGGGCAGGATGCATTTGGAGGCTGTGCAGTAATCCTCCCCATTCAGAGTGGAGCTGGAAAAGAGGAAACAGAGCTCAACATATATTATATATATATATAATATAGTATAATATATATATAAATATAAAGTGCTACCAGAAGTATAACCTCTTTTATACATTTTTTTTTTTTAGTGTTTATACTGTTTGTTTTTTTTTTTATTTTGTTATTTTTTTTATATATAGCGATCACACACCAACATAACAATAATCTGGAGTTCCAAAAAGTAAATCACCTTCAAAATTCAATTTATAAGGAAAACACTGCACTGTCTCCTGACATCATTTGGTAGCATAGTACCTAATGTGTACATGAAGAACTTTAAGTTTTCACAGTGAATTCAGCATTTGGTTTGTGTTTTTGTTATCATGGTGAAATCAACCAAAAGCCACAGGGGAATTTTTGAGTTATTTAGGCTAACTTAACAAAGGGAGCTCCTTTAGCTCTTTCATTATTAAGATTTGCTACAGAAGATATTAAAATGGTATTTTCAATTCTTAACATTACACATTATGATCACCCAACTTTTACTAGGACTATCATTAAAAGAAGCAAAATCAGATGTGGCAATGTTGGTGGTCAAGAAGACACTTCCAGGTGAGCCATGTCATTCAGCCCACGGCATGTCACTGAGCGTGAAGCACCAGCATCACAGGCAATATGCTTACCTACTTGCACCCTTGCAAAAGGAAGAAGAAGATATTCTGTCCAACATAAAACACTCATTTGCTATTTCGTCCTTTAAAGTTGCTTGTTGGATCCATCTCAAAAATGTGTTACAAAAGACAAACTATTTTTACTCAGATGTCACTAAATGTTGAAATGTCATAGTTTTGCTATGTACCAAGCAGAAGCTGTTTGGGCTCTTGGTATGTCCAGATTACTTTTTATTCCACGCTCTACCACGTATAGCTGAAACACATTTTTTTCTTCTTAAACATATAATCATACTGTTTTATTTTCCCTGCACAAAGTACATAGTAAAGGAATTAACAACTGTTTTTTATAAATAAATGTTAATGACTTTTTTCTTCCTCACTTAAAACTATTTTTATCTAAAGGATATTATATATTTTTGCCTAACTCAGATAATCATAGTGAGTTCAACCTGCCTATCCTTCATGGTGATCAAAAGTCCCATCTATAACCGTGGGGGTGTGGGGGAGGAGAGGAGATGGCTAGAGCAAGGGAAAAAATGTAAAGAGTTTAGAATTCAAAATTATAAGGATAAAAAGCCCTATATTCTATAGGTAACCTCTGCACCTCCCCATTAGGTTTCCTTCTTAATATTTCAAATATATTTCAAATATATTTCAAATATATTTATTTATTCAAATAAATATTTCTTCTCAGCCCTAATCATCTACAATTTAAGGAAACTTGTCTGAAATACTGTGTCCAATTCATATTGATAGAGGTTAAGAGGGAGTTCAAAAGAAGACACCTCATTCCCTCACGGCCCTGATAGTCCCAGGAAATCATGTAGGATGTAGATATTTATAAAACAAGCCACATGGAGGGCCCTGAGAGAGGAAAAAAAGACAAGTCAGTGAAGAGATTAGAGGAAGAGCAGGATTATGTTCATTTGGGGAATACCTCATAAAGGAAGTGATTTTGAACTGACCTTGAGGACAGGTAAATGTTCTATTGATGGGAATGCAGACATTTCAAAAGAAGAAAGTAGCAAGGACAAAGCCAAGGTGACAGGAAAGAGCATGCTGTATTGAAGTGCACCAGATATGCACATTTGGCTGGAACATCATGTAGAGGTTAGTGGGATAGCAGTCTGGAAGAGAAAGCTGGGCCAGAGAGTGAAGTTCCCTTGTATACCCAAGTCAGAAGGACACATTTGAGTTAGAAATAGAAAGCCATTGAGAGTTTTGAGTAAGATAATGACTAACATAACTACAAATAAGAAAGATATATCTGGCAGTTAAGTATTTGAAGGAAACAGAGAGGGAAGACACTGGACAGATTAGGAATTAGGGAAATTAGGAAGGTATCTCCTTAAAAAGAGGTTTTGAGTAGGACCTGAAGAGAAATAGTAAGGCTAGAAAAAAGAAGGCAAATGCCTACTTGTTCTCTTTGTGTCATGGTTATTGTATCATTTCGTTGTAATTGGCAAAGCCCCAACTATTTGTGAAAATAAGATGGTTGCCTTGAGTGGCAGCCCATGAAGGAATGTTTCAGATGTAGATCAGTTAGTTGGTGCTGAATAATTTCTTGCAAAGCCCAGTTTACTCATTAGAATTTAGATATCTACTACCAAAAACTATTGTTATAAACTAAATCTTTTTTTTTATCATGGGAACTAGAATGAAGTGGGAGGACACCGTGGAATGAGGAAAGATAACAAATTAATGAAAATTAAGTATTACAAGAATTTGTCCTTTATTGGGTATTGCATGTCCATGGAAACATGCTCTTGAATGGGACCCTAAGTGTTCCTTCTATTGACTATACCAATGCCACCACACAGGCAATGCGAATGAAATGATGGTGATCATAAGGGCCCTTAAAGAGCACACAGTGGAGTGTGAAGAATTGTAACTACAGTGGAGGGCGGGAGGGCATGGCATGATTGGATGCATTGGAAGCATGTTCGAGTACTAGAATAGTCAAAAAAGTTGAGAAACACTGGCTTGGGAGTATATATATTTTTAGGAGAAGATTCTTCTGTGGACACTTTTATTTATCTACATTTTGAATGAAGAGGTTTCATTTTATTTCCTAAAGAAAGCCATCATCTGACAGAATTTAGACATCAATGGACAGGATTTGCATGATGAGGAGGTAGGAGTCTTTCAAGACACCAGGAAATCTTGAGCCTAGAAGACCCATCAGAGATGAGCAAGGATATCCCAGTGGCTGTGTTCTTCCCCTCCATCTGTTCTGAACAAAGCCCTCTCACCTTAGCTGATTCACATCCCTTGTGTGCCCTGTTCCATATACATAGTTGGTAGTTGATGAAAGAAAGGAAAAAAAAGGAGTAGTTTTAAGTGAAGTTTCCATATATTCAGAATTCAAGCCAAAGACAAACATTAGCTGAGCCAAAATGCTGACTCCCTCTTTTTATTAAAATTCTCTTCCTCTTTTAATCAAATTCCACTCTCCTTAACTCTGAACCCTGTCCTTTCTCATGGTGAGTTCTAGAGACTAGTTGTGTTGTCTTAGCCTTAGGCCTTCTTTGACTATCTCATTTTTTCATTTGTAAATGTAAATTAGAATCCTGACCCTTAACTTTTCCACATGGACTTAATAGGTATATTTCTTTAAGTTCTCTGCATTTTTCTCAGGCACCAGGATAGTTTTGTCCAAGAAAAGTATGTTTTTTTTCTTTTTTTGCCTGCTTTACCTCCCACACCATGCTAAATCTATTACTCTATAGCAGAAGTTCTCAAACTTGGATGCACATTAGAATAATTTGGGGACCTTTTAAAAATCCCGATGCATAGGCTGTACCAAAGACCAATTAAATCAGAATCTCTAGAGGTGAAACCCAGACACCAGTATTTTTAAAGCTCCCCAGATGGTTCCAATGTGCAGCTAGGGTTGGGAAGCACTGATCAACAGCAACACCTAATTACTTTCCAATGCCCCAAACTGGCATTTACTTTCACGATTCTCATGCTCATTCTATTTTCTTGGCATTAAATGCCTTTCTGTATTTTATCACCTAATACAAAACAAAATCTGCACAGCCATCAAAGCCCAACTCAATGCCCTCCTCTCTATAGAGCCCTCTCTTCTTCCCCATCACTGGTCTGAACTTTTTTTCTTCCCCTTCTCTTCCATCCAAGTGACTTTTATCTCTACCTAACACATGGGACATTAAGTTTTAAACTCTAGTTTTGAACATATGTTTTTCCTAAATGTATTTCAAACTCCTTAAAAATAGAGATTTAGGCTTATTCATTTGCACATAGTGAACACTCAAATATTTTGAAATCAAATTACAATTGCCAAAATGAATGATATAAATCCATACCCTTTCTATATATAGTGTTGTGATGACTTGTGCCTTCTATTAAAATAGAATTCTTCAGAAAAGCCATGACACTGTTTCTTATAAAAACGTGGGATGTGATTTACTATTCCTGGCCGCAGCTGCTGCTCATCAATGATAAACTTCGAAGTCACGGATAACATAATTCAGCAGACACGGTGATTCTCAACCTACGCTTGGTGCCATATGGGCTTCAATGCAGCATTACTTCCTGCTCACACAAATATGCTTCATGTTTTGTTTCGTAAAACTTGACTTAGATTAAATGAATATTGACTAAAGAATCTAAGTCCTCCCAAGGCAATGTTTATAGGCTAAATGCTAGAGAGAGGGAGAGAGAATTGTAAGACATGCACAAAATCCACTCCTTCTGGAAGATACAACTTGGCATGACCTAGACATCTTTCCTGTGTTCCAGGTGTCCCTGTCTTTCCTCTATGGTCCCATTTAAACTCTGGATTTAATTTTATCTTAGTGTGACTGACTCCACCATAAAATGCAGAGCAACTTGAAGGTAAATATTAATATCACATTTTACTCATTTTTATTCACACATAACATTTACCTATCACAGTTCCTATCACACAAGAGGAGTCCAAAAGTATTTTTTGAATTAGTAATTGAACAAAAGAAAGAATCCCTAGTGGATAAAGCAAAGTATTGGTATGTAGAGCTCCCTAGCTTCAAATATCCCCTTTTTGTTGCCTACAGAAAGCAAGTTACATTTCATGCCATGCCTACAGGTACAGTGACTTGAATAAGTTCCAGATTAGATACTAACACCTAGAAGAAAATTAATTAAATACACAAGTGAAAATTAAAGCAAATGTTATTTGATTAAGTGATCATATTTAAAAGTATAAAAGAATTAAGTTATAAATTTCACATAACTGCTCAAAAATCTTAAGAAGTTACAGTTCATTTGTAGGACCAGAACTAGGAAGAGGAAAGTCAGGCACTCACCTTGGTGCAAAATTCAAGAAATGCAAAAACATCAATCAAGATAAATAATATTTAATGCAATATTTTTAAAAATCAAAAAAATATAAAAAATCCATGATGAACAAAATATCACAATTATAAACAAAGACAGGATCTATATGGATAGATTTGCAAAATATTATGTGATAATGATATTATGAGCAATATTACATCAAAACATTATAAAAGCATTATTATACAATGGTGTTAATAAAGCCTTGAGCACAATAATAATAGCCCACAGGTTTTGATACGCATAATTTTGAAACTGTGCTACGTGCAGATGTGGGTGCTTTATAAAAGGAAATAGTTTAACACCAAAATCTGTTGTGGGTTATTTTCCATAAGAGGCAGCAAATAATTTTTCATGCTTAGGTTTTAATTAGTGGTCAAAGTATCTAATGTGTTAGAAAAGAATTTGATACTGTCCCCACTACAGTACTCTAAAAATTATCTATTCAAAGACATATGTTTTCATTTAACGATTCATTATTCTTTCATTTCTTGAATTTCTAGCGCTGCGCTGAGCACTAAGGCTAATACCGGTCGTATTAGATGAGGCAGACATCTTTGTGAGCAAGCACGGTGATAGAATACTGAGAAAGACACAAGAGAACATGGTGGGGTTACTACGGAGATACAAACAACTTCTCCCTAGGGAAAGAATAAAGTGACAAGCTGAAAGAAATTTCAGGGTAAAGTAATGTAACTAACTAGTTAACATGCACCTTTCAAAACTGCATTGTTTTCTTCCCTAAGAGCTAGTTGGCAATATGTATTATTAACAAATGACTTAGAATTCTGAGTTATTCTGATGAAGCACTCCCATTCAAGAAAATTCCCTCAAAGAAATGTTACTGGACATGCATGAAAATTTCTCTCCAAAAAATTTTATCATGGCATTTTTTATAAGTAAAAGAATAAACCTAACTAGCCAATTATATGGCAGTGTTGAAATACATACATTGTAAAATGGAAGACTTCAGTGATTTAAAATGTTGGTAAGGGGTCACTAATGACATGGAATGGTGAATGGCGTATACACCTGCTACTCAAAGTGTGTACCCTAGACCAGCAGCTCAGACCTCCCAGGGGCTTGTTAGACAGGCAGAATCTCAAGCCCCACCCAACCCTATTGATTCGGAATCTGCATTTTAGGAAAGGTTTCTAACTAATTCCTATGGATATTACCATTTGAGAAGCACTGATATATGCTGTATTTGTTAAGCAAAAGAAAAATATGTACATTGTGATTCCATTTTTGACTCCCCGAAGTATGACTAGATGAATAGAAAAAGGAGTAGACAGATATACATGAAAACGTATTCAATAATGATCTCTGGGGGCTGTGCTTTTATTTTCTCCTTTCCTTCATATTTTCTAAATGTTCACCTACAAATGTTTATTACTTTTGTTATAAGGGGAAAAAAGTAAGTTTTATAGGTGTATTTTCTTTTTGTTGTTTTTCTTTTAAAATGATTATTCGCGGTAAGTAAATTACTTTTTCATAAGATAAAAATTCAGGTCAATTGCACATTGAAATTTGCAAAATTGAAAGTATAATTTTATGTTAATAGGTTTACATTTATGACCATATATCTAGTATAATTGTGATTTAAAACATTTATTCATATTGTTTTCATAAGAACATTTATAGCTTTCTATTCCTTTCTATTTATGTATCTTACTTTTCTGCCTGTTAAAGATATGAATATGTTTTTAGAGCAAGTCTCATCCACCCCTCAAATAGTTCTTGGTCTCTTTTGAACTTTAACCTCTTCCCTAATGCTATCCTAAAACTGCTAAGGTATACAAAATTTCAACTTTTGTCTTTCATTTTATTTTAGGCCTTGAAAAACCTCCTTTCAAAAGATGGGTAATTAGTATACCCAGATGTGATTAGTATATACCCCCTTGTTGGGGCTGTTTTTAATTCTGTCTCCTTCCTTAAAGAACTCTGAGGTTAGGGCACACAGGAGCTGTTAGTTTTGAAGCCAAGGCCAGAGGGTAGAAAAGACCCCACCTGGAGAGTTCAGGTGGCCCCTGATAGCCAGAGAAGACAACTGAAGCAGACTGAACACAGGGAGACAGAGGGTATCAGGAAAATGAGCAGGGCCTACCTCCAAAGCTTGCCTACAGCAGTCCCAGTGCATTCCAAGACATTTAAAGAATACAAGTAAAATCCCATTTTAAAGCAAACTACTTTAATGTAACATTTCATTAATGAATCAATGTACATGTCCTCTGAGAAGGCACATAGTAATTGTGCTTGGCTTGCCGTCTTCCATGGATCTCGTAGAACAAGTAGAGTAACAAGGCCTGTCCATGTAGCAGCCTGATTAAAGAAAGCTTTGCCCTCGTGGACATTTGTGCTCTTTTCTGCAGCAGGGACGTTAAGCAGTAGCAATCGGAAGATTAAGCCGACCAAGAGGCTGCTTTTCAGAGAGATCACAGGTGGAGGAAATGAAGATTATTTAAAAAAAAAAAATACTAGAAGAAGAAAACAAAAAGGTGAGGAAGTGACATTTATGGGATCTAAGGGCAGGTTTTTTTCATATATCATCTGATTCGATCCTCATAACAGACTCGTAACATACGTGAGCTGGCTGAGATTCAGTGGGGTTCATATCTTCCCCAAGTTAGTGAATGGCAGAATGAGAATCAATTTTGGTTTAGCTAACTCCAAATCCAATTTTGGTTTAGCTAACTCCAAAATCCATTTTCTTTCTGCAATAACACGCTGCCTCCAGACACAATTCTTCTGATTATGAGTCTCCCACTGTATCAGAATACCCTAAGTATCTTGTTAAAATGCAGATTCCTAGTTTTCTTCTCAGTCAGTAGGTCTAAGTGGGGCCTACAAATTCATTTTTTAAATATTTCCAAGGCAGTTCTGATGCACAGACCATGCATGTGCATGCTAAATCTGTACAGTGATGTATAGATTATATATCATTGAAAGGAGACTCCTTGTCACTGCTAGAGCAAACCCTGCCTTTTCCTAACAACGTGGTCTTGGTAGCACTGTTACTTCCTCTTGGTCTGCATCCATATTTCACTGCCTGGCTCAAGGTTCTCCGAGATAGAGAAGGTGGCTCTGAAGTGAGAAGAATGGAGGCTGAGTTTTAGATCCCACCGTTCACTGGTGATGCTAAGTAAGGAAGTCACCAACTCTTTGAACTTTACTTTGTTTTTCTATAAAATGGAGAGAATAACTGCTGCCTCCACCACCTCACATAGGGGTGGTGAGGAAAAAAATAAGAGGATTCAACTAAAATTGACTCAGACTGTTAACAATTTTCCATACAGATATTAGTAATTGGGTGAGGAGTAGAGGGTGTGAAAAATGAAAAGATCCCTGGCCTTGAAGTCAGATGTGAGTCAGAATTCTGATGCTACCTCTCATTAGCTGTGTAACTTTGACCACTTAACATCCCAGGGCCTCAGTTTCCTTTGTATAAAAGAGAATTTAAAAAATGCATGCCCAATAGCAGAAATGGAAATAACTTAAACAGCCGTCCACTGGGGACTAGTTAAACAAAGATCCTTTGTCCGTGCTGTCAGAGAAGAGTGACTTCTACCTACCCACTGCTGGTTTCCATGGAAATGGATATTTAAAGCATCCGAAGCCTGCCTCCTGACCTTTACTCACTCTACCCCTGAGAAGGTGTGTGACTTACCTGAGTGATAGATCTTGGCTCAGCTCTCCTCTTCACTCTGGGAACTGCTCTAGGCTACACAATGAAATCTACATATACAGGTTCAATATTAACAAGCTTGCTTGACTAGTCATATAAAACCTCAACTTCTGGTCTGGCTTCAGCCTGCAATAAAATTAAATTTGTGGCCTCCATCTGCCACCCATTTATTTTCTTTTTCAAATTGTTCAGAACCCAGGGGCAGGGGGCAGAGGAAAAGAGGCACTATTTATTGGCTTCTCAAAACTCCAATATACATATTGAAAACTATGTAGCTATAAAAAATAAAGAACTGAATCCATATGTACCTATTGTCTCTGAAATTATCTTAAGATATGCTAAGTAAAAACTATTAGGTCCAAAAGAAGGTATTTAGTATACCCCCATTTGTATAAAAATAAAAGGTACATACACAGAAAAGTGCACATACATTTAATTAGAAAATTACCAGAAAAACAAGCAAGAATCCTTTCACTCTAGTTGCTTTTAGGGATAGACTGAGAGTTTGAAATGAGTTGAGGAGTTATTTTTCACTGTATATGCTGTAATATTATTTTAACTTTTAGTTACAATTGTCTTATTTTTTAAATAAAAAATATACACAACCCTCACATTGCTGTGTTGAGGAGTAAATAACATTGCATAGGTGAATAAAATCTGCATAGTAGAACCAATAATTTTGGCTTCCTTTCTTTATGCTTCTACCTAGAAGTCAGCTTCCCCTTGGCAATAGCACTCCTTTGGGATTGTTGGAGGCAACTTTATACCGTACGGTGCTCCAACGTCTCTTTGCCTTAGCTATGCCCCTGGTCATAGGAAGCTCTCCCCTACCGGAAAGCAAGCTACAAGACAGCCAAGGACCAAAGAACTTGTAGCCCTCCCACACCTAGCCCACTATCTTTTAACCTAATAGAGAGTTAACACATGTTTACAATACTGAAGAGCATGTGAGGGTCTTAGCGCCCAAGTCAATCACCCACTCCAATTGCAATGGAGTTGAAGTTAGGACAAAGAAAGCCTTTGCATGACTACACTAAGCAGGAAGCACAGCTTCAAAGAGCAGCTGAGACTTCCTGGCAGAACAGGGACTCCGCATGTGACATTATGTGCAAAATCACCACACGTATGCTGCTCCCAACCACCATCATCTCCCAAAATGATATTTTAAATGGAAACATATGGCTAATGCAAAATGAATCTGAGTTTTTCTTCCTCTGTGTGTTTGGTGATTATTTATCTGAGTTTAAGAAAGTATAAGATAAAAATTGCCAAAGCAAGGGAAAATTAGCTCCTCCAAGCTCTTTTGAGGATTTTTTTTTTACCTTGGGCATGATTACAAAGTTATGCATTCATGTTGTAGGCTGAATAGCTTGACTAAGGACCATCTTGAATAGTAGTAGACTCTAGTTAAAAGATCAGGGACTAGAAAGACAGAATGACTTCGAATCTTGACTCCATCCTTGACGGGTCTGTGGTATATCTTCTCTAAGCCTTGGTTTCCACTGCTCTGAAATGAGAATGACACTTACTTTGGGGATGCAAATGGCATGATATCAGCAAAGCACCAGATAGATGCCCTGTATATAAGCAATAATGATTAACATAGAAGTCAATTTATAAAAAATAAGAGAATTGGGAATGATTATACTTATTTGCTCAGTCATGTATCTTATCTTTCCCACTGGTCTGTGATCTCTTAGAGGGTAGGAACCTTACTTTGTTCATTTTTATGACTTTAGCAGTGAGCATGTTGTCTTGTTATAGCTCATTCCCCAATATACATGCATCAAATAAATGAGAAAGAAAATTGAAAGTAACTTCAAACCATTCTAACCAATATTATTTCCAACCATCCCCAACATGAATCTGTATATCAGTCTGTGAGATCTCTTCCTTCTTCCTTTTTACACACCATACTTAATACTAGGAAAGAGAAAAACATCAGGTCAATTGCATAGAAATGGGTACTAATTCTTTCAAGATTTCCAAAAAAGGAGGATAAGCTAAAAGCATGCTTTTTGAGTTGAGAAACAAAATTATCAAAAAAACATTTCTTAGCAATATGTAATTTAAATCTCCCTGTTTCAAACCTACGTCTGCTTTTGTGTGATCAATTTATGTTTTAAGTAACTTGCTTTGGGACAAATAAAGTTTGTAAAATAACTAAAGTATAAAATTTGATCTTGCTAAATAGGGCTTGTAACAGAAAGCTGGTTATTTCAATTTCCCAAATATACATTAAATTTCTACCAAGTGCCAGAAGAAATTAGATACAGAAAAATTCAACATGTATATGATATGCCACTGTTCCAAAAATATTGTGCTTGCCACCTAATAAAAATATCCTATATTTCCCTTTTCTACTTTTATTTCTTTAAATTTAAAAAGATCTTGTTAACTTGTTAAAAACCTCTACCTCAACCACTTTTCTCTCATTAACCCACATTTCTAATAAAATTCCACGATACAAAAGATGATTTTTAAATTTATCAACCAGCATTTACTTCACAACTATGTACTATGAGCCCAACTTTGCTAAAACATAGACACATCTTATGTGAACCTTGAATACCTATAAAACATCCAGATGCTATCCTATGTATTTTTAAATGCATGTACTTAAAAACAAAGCAATGGTTACTTTAAAACATACCAAATTACAGTGTAGTGTCATTTATTTATTTTTGCTAGCTCTTATTATTTTCCCATTTAATTTTTATCTGTATACATTCATGGGGTACAAATGCAATTTTGCTACATGGATATATTGCTTTGTGGTGAAGTCATGGCCTGCATCCATCACTGAAGCAATATACATTGTTCACCAAGCAACCTCCCATAATCCACCCCTATCCCACCACCACACCCCTCCATGTCTCCATTGTTCATCATTCCTCACTCTGCTTCCATGTGTGCACATTATTTAGCTCTCACTTATAAGTGAGAACATGTGGTATTTGTCTTTTTGTGCCTGAGTTTTCTTATTTAAGATAATGGCCTCCAGTTCTATCCATGTTGTTGCAAAAGACATGATGCCATTCTTTATTACAGCTGAATAGTATTCCATTGTGTATATATACCACCTCTTTTCCATTTCAGATGCTTTTTGGTTTTTTTCACTTGACTCCATCCTTGACATTTCTGTGGTATATATTCTCTGAGCCTTGGTTTCCACTGCTCTGAAATGAGAATGACACTTACCTTGAGGATGAAAATGAAATAATACCTGCAAAGCACCAGATAGATGCCCTGTATATGATAATAATAATTAATATAGAAATTAATTTATGAAAAATAATAGATAAATTGTTCTCAGCCAATGCCAGTATCTGTAACCTATTTCTTTTTTGTTAATTTTTTAAAGATTTTTTTATTTCAGCATATTATGGGGGTACGAAGGTTAAGGTTACCTATATTGCCCATGCCCTCCCTCCCCCCTCAAGTCAGAGCTTCAAGCGTGACCATCCCTCAAATGCTGCACATCTCGCTCATTATGTTTGTATATACCCATCCCCTCCTCCCCCCTCCCGACACCTGATAAATGTTATTCCTATATGTCCACTTAGGTGTTGATCCGTTAATACCAATTTGCTGGTGAGTACATGTGGTGCTTGTTTTTCCATTCTTGAAATACTTCACTTAGTAGAAGGGGTTCCAGCTCTTTCTATTAACTGTTTTTCTACTGGTTATATGTCATATTTTCTGCTTCTTCAGATGTCTAGCAATTTTGTTAAGATTCTGAATTCATATTGTCTTCTTTAAAGAGTGTTAAATTTTGCATTACTAGCCAATTCATTTACTGGTGAATCGTTTTGATTCTATTGAGGCTTAATTTTAGATTTCGGTAGGTTGGGTCTAGAGTAATCTTTACGATTTCTAAGATGTGGCCTTTCTGCTGTCTCAGGCAAATTCCCAGTTTCACTCTATCTAGTGGACTCCAGAGTCTCCCAGCACAGTAAAATCTTTAGAACCACACCATTCAGCTCCCACTCCCCAGACCATTCTCTACTGGGCCTCACAGAATCTTGCCTTAATGTGTGTACATCTTGGTATTCAGCCAAATGTTCAGGGCAGCCTTAACAGACTTCTGAAGCTCTTTTTCTGAACATTGTCTCTTCTTCACTACTTTGATCCACAAATTCCAGCTGCGTCAGCAGTGCCAAAATATAGTCCCTGTCTTGTATATCTCACAAGACCACTGCTCTCTATTTGAGTTCCACAACCCGAGACTACAGTTTTGAAATTAGCCCCATGCAAAAAGCCTGAGTGTTTATGGGGTTCACCTCATGTGTATTCCTTCTGTCCGTGATTGTAGACCTATGCTATATGTTGTCTAAAGACTGGAAACACTTGTCTCATGTAGTTTTTCTAGTTTTATAATAGTTGGAGGTAAGGCTGATGCTATGTTTTAGTCCATCACATCCAGAATTGGCAGCCTAGGTCTAAACTATATAGTTATATTTTAAAAAAGGTGAAATAAGAGCTTAGAGTAACAAGAGACATGTAATAAAAATTTGTACTATTATTATGTTTAATAATGACTATGAAGCACTATATTCCAAAGATGAGAAAACCAAGACTCAGAGAGGTTAAGTGAGGTCGGTTAGTAAATGGCAAAGCCAGGATTTGGACCAAGACAAGTCTGACTTCAGAGTCTTCATTTTTTTCTACTTACCACAAGGCTTAAAGTAACTAAATCAGGTTACTTTAGTAACCTACAATTAAGAATTGAACTGGGCTTTGAAAGATGGATGGGCTTTGGGATCTGCTCCCAAGGTAGCAGAGCACATCCCTGGTAAAGGGAACAGACTGTGGTGGGAAATGGGTGAGAGCAAAACTAGAGGCAAGATTTTGTGTGGTGACAAAATTAAATAGTTTGGGTGAGGTCGGTTGAGATTTTTCAGGTTGCAGTTTATTATAATATTTTAGCCATGGATTTTTTTTTCAAATTTACTGGTAACTACATAATTATATACACTCTAATATTATAGAATCTTCTCCTTCTGTGTTTATAGCTTCATGAATACCAAAGTCTCTGCCAGTCTTATTTACACAGATGATTAAAGTTGAAAGAGAAAAGCAAAAAGAAAGAAGGTGAATTTTGTCTGTTTGTTTTTCCCTATTCCTGTCTAGTTGCTTTTCATAGTCATGTAAAGAATTTCTCTAAGCTTACTCAAATATCAGAATGTCTAGAGTTGTTGAAATTCCCTTTCTAAGATCACAGGAAATGTCTTGCCTGTTCTCATTTAGCTAAAATTTTATCTATGAAGTCTTTCTTTCAGCTCATGACCTCCTCCTCCGCAGGATCACAATCTATTTAGAACTATTATCTGAGCAGTCTCTGCTGCAGGCAGGGTGACAGATTTGCCTTCCCAGTCTTAACTTTTGCAGAGAATTCCCCTTCTTTAGCTGTACAGAATTGCTTTCTTTGTATGGAAAGTAACTTTAAAGACAACTATTTGTTAGGTTTTTAAAATTTGAAATTTCTTGAGAGATTTATGAGATAGCTTTGATTTTCCATATGAAATGTATAATTGGACTGCTTTAGCACCATACTACTCAGTGTCTAATTGTCTAATTATACCAGTATCCGCTAACAGCCTGACCCCTTTTGTATATCAGGAACTGTGACCTCTATAAGAATGATCTCAATTAATCCTCACAATAACCCTATAAGGTAAGTTCTATTATTATAATTCTCATTTCACAGATGAAGAAACTGAGGTTTGGAACACTTGAGTAACTTATCTAAGAATACTGAGCACAAATAGCTTCTTTGCATTGAAGAGTTGAAATCCAAAGTTCAAACACTTGCAGAAGACAAAATCCAATCCCCAAGCATCCACAGAGACAGCAAAGGCAGCTTTCTGAGGATATCACACATACCAAAGAGCTTTAGAATCAGACATACGTAAGTTCAAATTATGGCTCTCTCATTTCTAGCTAGAGGACTTTGAGAAATGTACTTATTCTTTGTTTCCCTGTTTCTTTATCTCTATGATTCATTGAGATTAATATTTCTTGGTGAGCTCATGATGATTAAATAAGATAGTATCTATAAAGTAGTAATAGTAGCTACTATTATTATTTATTATTGTTCTAATGGGTTTTTCAGCTTTACTCAAATTTAAGATTCAGATTTCCCTGAAATGCAGCTCTGCCATTTACTATCTCCATGACATTGGAGATATTACTTAAACTTCCTGGGCCTCAGTTTTCTTATTTGAAAAGGTGATAATAATAATTGCCTATTCATGATGTTTGTAAGAGCTAGATGAGCTATACAACCGTCCCTGACACATGGTAAGAGTTGCATGTATTATCTGTTATGAAGATTATGATGCTGGCTAGACAAAATGGCATGGTGGACTTGAGACAAAGTTCAGTACACACAAGGACCAAAGTACATGAGAATTTGACTTAGAAGAAATCCATAATCTCTTAAAAAGATCTATTACTTGGGTTTGTCTCCTGGCTCTGCCTCCATCAGACTCCTATCTGCTGTCATGTAGAGCAGTAAAATCCCATTGAAAAACTATTCCATACTAAGGCGACTATGTACCCCTTGCTCACAGAGAACAGTCCAATGGGAAAGAAGCATTCTTCCTATGCTCTGTCATTGAATAGCATGGACCGTGGACACGGGAGTGGCTCCGTGCCTTAGTAATGGAAACCAGTAGAACAGCAAAGGTACCTACAGTTCCCAGGAGGGCAGCAGATGAGGAAAGTGCAAGAGACTATGGTATTTAGAGAATCGTCACTAGCAGAGGAGCAGCAGGGTATGACAAGGACAAGCTTGTTGTTGAGCATACCTAGAGACTAGCAGAAATAACAGAAGAAGACTTTTCAGAGAACTCTATTATATAGGTGGAAGCAATAAGCCTGAGTAATTTGAATAATGACTAATAAGTTGACCTCATTTATATCCACAGGCTGAGGAGGTCTGGAGAAATTCAGGTTACATTATAATAAAAACAAGTGATTATTATTATTATCATGCTATAATCACATTTGAGCACAGATTTTGCTCATAGTTGCTTGCTTGACCCTTTGGATTCCACCAATTTTCTAGTGGCACAGATCCAATTTTCTAGTGCTTTGAGTTTTGACTTTCTCTTGACATTGCCTAGTGGGTCAACGTGAGTAAGCTTTAAAAAAAAGTCTGTTTGTTTCTTAAGTACCATTTCCCTTTTTAAAATGCTGATGTGTTTCTTCATATGCCTAATTACAGTTTGCATAAAGCTGTATGTTTGTGCTTTCCTTTGCATCCTATGAAAATAAAGTGTTTTTTTAAAATAACCCAATTAATGTGGAAACAATTAGAAATAAGCCATGAACTAGTGAATTTTTCATTATTAATTAAAACCTAAAAATATTCTTCTTCAGAATGTTAATTCAAAAGGCTATCATTTCAAATGTATGTGTAACATGCTTATACTACTCAGTGATTCATACTACAAACACATCAGAGAGATCAGGAGATAGAGTAAATGTAGATTTTTATGTTTTTTCTGTTTTGTTTAATTTCAGTTATTTAAGAAAGCCACAAAGCTATAGTCATCTTGTTGTAGGTCTCATAACTATAACAAGTAGGGATAAGAGGTTAATTTTAATCAAAAGGCCAATTTATAAATTCAGCACTGCTGAAGTAAAATTTTTGCTCAGGTTAATTTCTCTGTATAAAAAAAAAAATCTCTTCCCCTGACAACAATAACTCTCCAAAAAGGTAAATCTATGAACTGATAGTGAGGTTATTCAAGGAAATGAAGCATATGTTTTCAGGAGAAGATAACAAAATATGGTATGTCTTTCAGAATCTGATTTCAAAAAGTAATGTTTATTTGTCAAGCTGTCTAAAGAGATAAACTGCTTCATATAGAAAAAGTAGGGTCTATGAATATTACAAAACTGATCTTCATCAAATCCTGTACTGTAGGCATTACTGAGGACCCCTTCAATTGCCTGGCTTTTTAAAAATGGACTTCCCCAAATCTCTCTTATGTGCCAACTGATCTTTCCAATATTTACATATGGAAAATGTACTAATGACACTATCTAATCAAAAGATAACTTCTTATTATTTCTCACATATGCTCAGCCTTGAGGAACATAAAACTTCTGAAGAAAGATAAATTTTTTAGCACGTTAAGTATGTCCAACCAGAGTCAGTACATTATTATTTAGGAACAACTTTCTATCAGATACTTAGAGCCACTATGCTAAACTTGTTCCATAGATTATATTATGTATTTAATCACAGTGATTATTCTCATTTTACAAAGATTAAAAACTCAGGCTTAAAGAAGTTAACCTATCTAAGGTCACATGATCAAGTTTTAGAGTAATGAGTCCAACACTTGGAAATTGCCTTTACCAGCTTGCTCTTATCCACCATATTATTTGCATGACATTGTGCCAGAAGCTAAGCCAATGGACGATCTCTAAGCCAGAGTTCCTGCCTTGAGTTGTTTATAATCTCCTATCTAATAGGATACAATCCCAGAGGCCAGTATCATCACAGGTGTATTGAGTTTGTTCCAAGTCCCCAGCATTCCACTCTTCCAAGACCAGGTGCTTGGACACTCGGGAAAGGAAGCATGCAAGCATTCAATTGCCTTGCTCTCAAAATAAGCCAAGTTGAAAAAATAAAATTTGGAAGCATTATCATGATTTTACAGAGCTAAACCTGACATTAAGTCTTGAGATTCAGGAAAATACAAGTAGAGACATCTGCCATAAGGGAGGTCAGCTGGCAGCAGGGAATCAGCTTAATGCAGGAAAGGGAGAAGAATGTGTCTACTTTTAAGACTCAAAATTGCTGTGATTCTGGTTATGCCAATGTGGCTGCATTGCCTGGTTAGAGGAAAGCTGGCAGTTGAAATATCTATTTTCCATTTGACATTAGTGTGACTTGGCTTGAACAAAACCATTTTCATAAAGCAGAAAACCAACTTGTTCCATAGGTCTTCCTATTTGTATGCTATTTTTTCAAGGTGAGTGATAGATTAATTCTCCAAATTCTGAAGAAAATTTCTCTCAGTGTTTTAACTATCCTTTGTAGAAGTGGCCTAAATTAAAATTACCTAGTCTATTACTGATTTTTCCCTCCAAAATTACAATTGTGCTATAATGTGCATATTTTCATTGCTCTTCAACATGAAATTAAAATTACATAGTTATTTAAAAAAAAAACTCTCAATTTAAAATTTTTGAAAAGAAGTCTTGGACTTCAAAGTATAATTACCTAGAGCTCATTAAAATACAGGATTATTAACCCAAGAGCTGAAGTTTTTAGTAATAGTGGATTTCTTATAACAGTAATTATAAGAGTCATAAATATTAAGTATGACAGTAACACTCTACATTTAAAGAGAAAGTGTGTGCTCATATCTTTACCAAAGTTAATGTGAAAAGAAGATGATGAAGGGGGCACCAGAATGTTAAATAGCTAAGCATGAGCCCTATGTTTCGACTCTGTATTAAAGTAAGACATTATAATAAAATGTTCCAAAATGTTTTATGATATAAAAGTCAACAGATAAAAAATACTAATTAGTGAGAACGATATCCAGTAGCGCCTTGAGTGATCTTTTTTCCTAAACTGTCCTGGAGGGGGGAAAGGGAGACATTGAGTATGGCAAGAATTATGTAAAAATGTGAAGAAAAAATGACTAAAGGCCATGTGAAGTGGCTCACACCTGAAATCCTAGCACTCTGGGAGACTGAGGCAGGAGAATTGCTTGAGCTCAGGAATTCCAAGACCAGCCCGAGCAAAAGTGAGACCTTATCTCTACTAAAAATAGAAATATTAGCTGGGTGTCATGGCACGTGCCTATAATCCCAGCTGCTCAGGTGGCTGAGGCAGGAGGATCACTTGAGTCCAGGAGTTTGAGGCTGCTGTGAGCTAGGCTGATACAACTGCACTCTACCTGGGCAAAAGAGTGAGAGATTCTGTCTTAAAAAAAAAAAAAAGACTGGAATGAAATCTCTGAGTGCTAGATTTATTGGTAATATTTCCAACTGTTTCATAGCTTTCAGTAATTTGTCAGCTTTCTACAATGAGCCTATATTTCTTCTAGCCTACCTATTAATTTTTTCAACAATTTTTATTTCCAAGATTTCTAGTTCTTTTTTCTGTCTATTCCTGTTTTACTTTATCACATTATCCCCTTAGATCTCTCTGAATATTAATTCAATTTATTCTATTTTGTGGTTGCTGTCTCTTTTCTTTCTTTCTTTCTTTCTTTCTTTCTTTTTTTTTTTTTTGAGACAGAGTCTTGCTTTGTTGCCCAGGCTAGAGTGAGTGCCGTGGCATCAGCCTAGCTCACAGCAACCTCAAACTCCTGGGCTCAAGCAATACTGCTGCCTCAGCCTCCCGAGTAGCTGGGACTACAAGCATGCACCACCATGCCTGGCTAATTTTTTCTATATATATTAGTTGGCCAATTAATTTCTTTCTATTTATAGTAGAGATGGGGTCAGGCTGGTCTTGGAATTCCTGAGCTCAAGCAATCCGCCTGCCTCGGCCTCCCAGAGGCCTCTTACTTTGCCTCTTGCTTGCCCACATTGTCTAGAGGGAGGGGTTCAAGTTTCTAAAATTTCACAGCACAATGTTTTGGGTGTGTGTTAGCAGGAGCAGGGGAAAGGCAGGTGTGTCTCTGTGCTATGAACCTCTGTAGTTGGTCTTCTGGGAATGAGGGTTCCTTTCCTTTTCAGGTTAACCTCAGTCATCAAGAGCCCCACCTCGTCTGTGTCCAAAAGTCCCACACTCCTGGCTCCCACCTGGAGTAGACAATCCCATTGCTGTTCCTAGATCACCTCCTGCCTTTCACTTCCACAAACTCTGCTGTGAAGCATACTTACTCTGCTTCTTCTTTGTCTGTTCAACACTTCCCTACTTGAATTATGATGCTTCCCTTCTGCTAGGATTTTTCCCATTTTGTGATATGCTGAGAGTTATTTTGAGCATGAACTATATATTTAATTACTAAAACAAATGAACAATAATTTTTCTTATTATTTCTAAATATTTGGACTGAAGAAGTAGACTACAAATTGTGTTTAGTCTGCCATTTCGAAACAGAAAAAGTACACAAAAAACAATTTTTAAGAATTGCTTCAAAACTACTATTTCAGTAGAGTTATTTTTTACTAGTTAAAAAAATAAAAACAAAGAAAAGATGGAAAGCTAAGTGATGCCTACAGCATCCAGTTCAGAAAATGTGACAGAAGTCTTTCCACTACCACTACTAGTCCTGGTTTTGGTCCTGGTTTTTGTTTTTCCATATTGCTCTGGTGGTATGATTTTTTTTTCCTTTTCATAATTTCATTTTCTTCTTTCTGGTAAATAAGTGAAGATTTCTCACTTAAAGATTGACTCTTTAAGCATAAAATTATAAAAAGTAAACCAATATTATAACCAAATAATCAGGTCATAATTAAATTAAAAATTTAAAAACTATTCTGATTCCAAATGTACATTAGGTTTACCAATGACTCAAAGCAATAAAACATATGAAAACTTGCTTATTCATTGGGCCTATTTGCTGACACAACACAAAGGCGAGATCATTCCAAGACAGTATGTACTAAAGCAAAAATGTCAGCCAGCATTTTGGAACAGGCCCCTTGAAAATGCTATTAATATAATTTCACTGCAGTTCTCTCAGAAGCCTCTTGAAAGGCTTTAAAACCTTAAGGTAGTCTTATGACTTGGGATATAGTTGATCCATATGTTTCTTGTAAACTGCACTTTTTTCTTTTTTTAATAAAAATTGAAAGTCAAATAAAAATAATAACTACAAAAAGGAAAATGTCAAAGTGATTATTCTCTTAGCTCATGATTTCAAAATTTTCAGATTGAATTTTATCCTCTTAAGGTTCAAGTTGTATTTACAGCCAACAAAATGACATATCCTGGTTCTATAAAAAGAGGAAAGCCCCAAATTCTCTTCAACATTCAGTACATCTTAATAAACTGCATTTGACAATTTAAGGGTAAAGGAATCAAAATCAGGCAGATAAGATTTATTTAAAAATACACAAGAATTAGAAAATAAAGGTGGATAAGCTTGGCACAGAGCACTTTTGACTTTTCCAAAGCCTAAAACATTTAGGCCAAAAAGATAAAAATAATTGAGGCCAGGCGCGGTGGCTCACACC